ACAGGTGGGGTCCCTCAGCCTAGCTGATGATGGGGGCTGATCAGGGCCAGCCGGTGGGGGGAGGACCCACGGGAGGTTGGCTATGGGAGTGCACTGACCACCAGGGGGCAGCTCCTGCATTGAGCATCTGCCCCCTGGTGGTCAGTGTGCATCATAGCGGCCAGTTGACTGATCAGTTGTTCAGTCACTTAGACTTTTATATATATAGCTATATATAGATATATCCTAAATAATAAAGAGCCAATATGCAAATGGTCATCACACTCTCACATTGTCACACCCTCATGCTATCACATCGTAACTGCTTAGACACTCAACACTGGGGAGAGAGGAATGGGGACTAGCCAGGCTGTGGCCTGGGAGAGGGACAAGCCACACACCCTGTGGTCCCAGGTGCCAGCGACTGCCGCTGCGGCCCAGGCAAAGCTGCCCGCCATGGTTCCCTGTGGCTGTGGCCAGCCCAGGCGAAGCCGGCCCAGGTCCCAGGTGCTGCGGCCAGCCAGAGGGTGGTAAACCTGGTTCCTGGGTGCCTGCGACTGGCTGGAGGAGGGAATCCTGGGTCCAGGTGCAGGGTGAGGCAGAAGCAGCTAGGGGTGATCAGGCCAGCAATCAGGCCTGTAGGGGAGCAGTTGGGTGTGATCAGGCAGGCAGGCAGAGGGATTGGGGCAATTAGGCAGGCAGGCAGATGAGCAGTTAGGAGCAGCGGTCCCAGATTGCGAGAGGCAGTCTGACATCCCCTAAGGGGTCCTGGATTGGAGACGGTGCAGGCCGGGCTGAGGGTCCCACCCACCACATGCACGAATTTTGTGCACCGGGACTCTAGTATATATATAATTGTGATGTGTTAATGTTTTGCTAAGAGCATGGTGCATTCTAATTACTTTGCCACCTGAAGAAGTAGGAGAACCTTTGCTTAGAATGTTAGCTGCTAAGAGGGCAGAGGAGATTCTTTGTAATAACCTGACTATATCAAACCATGCTCTTATCACCAGCTAGAAATTTTTAAAGACCTATATGGTGCATTGCAGAAAAGTCCCATCTTCACAGTCTACGTGTGAATCTAGACAGTACTACAATCTAGCATGCTGACCATTCTTTCCCATTTAAACTTTAGCAACTTATCTACTCTGTTTTTGTTTGTTTGTTTGTTTGTTTTTATTGATTTCAGAGAGGAAGGGAAGAGGGAGAGCTAGAGCGAGATAGAAACATCAGTGATGAGAGAGAATCCTTGATCAGCTGCCTCCTACAGGCCTACACTGGGGATCGAGCCTGCAACCTGGGAATGTGCCCTGACCAGCAATCAAACCATGACCTCCTATCTGGTTCATAGGTTGATGCTCAACCACTGAGCAATACCGGCTGGGACTACTTCTCCCTGTTTAAGCCTCCTTAAACCAATTGGAAAACAATTAAATTTTCTCGTTGAGTAAATTTCTACCTAATACTGTTTTTACATTATCTAATCTGTCTGTGGATAATTTACAATAATTTCTGGATCACATTCTAAGACTGTGGACTCAGGATATAATGTTAATGTCTGCATCTACTGTTAAAAAATTTCCAGCCTCTACCTCAGAGAAAACATAATTAGGTTAGTTAAACCCACTGAAGAAAGTCAATGCAACTGTGCAATTCTTTGTTTAGCCTGGATAATTAAAGCCTGACCTCAGTGTGAAAAGCTCCGAACTCTGGCTGGGTGTGCAGTTCAATCAGACTCTCCACCTAGAGGGAAAAGCATGGAGTTGCAGGTAGAAAATAGAGCGGCTATAAAAAGCAGTGATGATGGCCCCAGCTGGTTCGGCTCAGTGGATAGAGCGTTGGCCTGCGGACTGAAGGGTCCTGGGTTCGATTCCAGTCAAGGGCACATGCCTGGGTTGTGGGCTCGATCCCCAGTAGGGGGCGTGCAGGAGGCAGCTGATCAATGATTCTCTCGCATCATTGATGTTTCTATCTCTCTCCCTCGTCCTTCCTCTCTGAAATCAATACAAATATCTAAAAAAATTAATGATGATTGCACATCAGTGTCAATGTGCCTAACACCACCGAGCTGTACACTGGTAAAACTTGCCATTTCAACCATTTTTGTTATGTATATTTTACCACAATTTAAAAAAGTATGAGTGGTGTAACACAAGGTGTTGAATACAGCAGAAATGAATAACAATTGTTCATAATAATGAATGCCGTTATATTGATTTTATAGTATGCCTATTTATACCATTGTTGTTATTAATCATGTTAACATTAGTAATAATCAGTACCTATACAGCACTTACTCTGTGCCAAGGACTATTCTAAGCACCACATAGAAATGTAGCTTTTGTCACTGTCTCCTCAGAAAATGAAAGTTTTACACCACCTGTCACATCTGTGGAATCATTGCCAGATTCCAGACTTCCCGAAAGCCTCTCAGTCAACAAGGAGGAACAGCTGCTCGAGGCAGTTGAGATCAATAGGACAGGTAAAACCATTACCAAATTCCTTGCCAAAAAAAGCAGGTGAATGTATGAAAGTATCCGTACATCATTCTTGAGACATTGAGAAGCTGCCCCTAAATGTAAAATATGAACGTGCAGATGAATTTGAGGTGGCTCAAATGTGGGCAAGTGGGAAAACACAACAAAATAGAATGATCACATCAGCACTCTAACAACTTGTCATTAACCAGATATACCCGTGTGACTCTCTTATCTCAATTAGCCAGTTTCCCACACGGGACACACTTTTACCCGCTTTCTCCCTGCTCCATTCCCTCTGAGCAGCATGTCCGGTCCTCTCAATCTGAGCGAGCCAGTGTGCAACCATCACATTATCAATATATCTCACATTCAGCCTGGTCTCCACCGTCTGTCATTCACAGTTTGCAGATTAGGGACACGTTTTGTATCTGTATGTTTCTCTTACCTCACCGTCGGATCCCCGGGTCCTTCCAGGTAGCTGTTGTTTTTATTTCTTTTGACTTTGCAAATAGACTGGACTTATGGGCATGGTGTGGGGGTGGGAGGTGGAGGGATATAGGTGGGTACCTCCTCCACAGTGTCAGATTGTGTACCAAGGGAGTGGGGAGAAGGGGTAGGTATGTCAGGGAAAGCTTACAGGGACCTGAATCTAAGTATAAAGCTCTTCTACTTCTCTGGTCTTCATTGACCTTTATCGCAGTCCGGTTCTTTGGGGTTCTGCCAACATCACCTTAATATATGCCCAATGTCTTCAAGGTTTGGGTCAAATCACCTTTTCCAAAAGTTTCCACAGGCTGACTCCATCCTCCCGGGGTTACTCCTTTGATTGAATTTTTACCACTGACTCCTCAGGGTGAAATCTTCCTACAGTCTGTGTTTGCTTCCTAAGCTTGTATTCTCTATCCAACCAACTAGGTAACAAGTGTTTGAAGAGCCAGAGTGGTGTGTTTTATTTGTTTCATTTTCTCCCCCACAATGCCCACCATAGTGCTTTGTTGAGTTTGCCCAAATGGTTCTGAACTCAAAAGATAGTGACTATTCAGTTACTCAAAAAAGTGTCACCAAGTTTTTCATTTCTCTTAACAACTTGAAAAAATCCCGGAGAACTAATGCCGTGTTTCCTCTGACCCTGTGTATCTATGATACGCTCATAGCCTCTCTTTCCCGACTCATTTCCAGGGATGAATAATGCTCAGGTTGTATCTGTTTGTTTCTTTTTCCAAGTCGTGAGGACACTGTGAGTCACTAATTTCTTTCCCATAGCAACCAGTTATTACATAACAAAGAGTGGAGTATGTTATGTCAGTGGAGGATACGGCACAAATTGTAATTTCATCTACATGACTTCAAAGAGAGGAATAAAAATACATGGTTTTATTTCAAAATAAAAGCGGTTTTAACATTTCTACACAGATCAGATGTAACCCAAACATTTTATTGATCTCCAAAGTGATTTTCATATCAATTAATAATTCATATTCATATTCATGTCAACCTGTCTGGGGAGGATGAATCATAATTGTTATCATGATCATTTCCATTTTATGGAACAGAAACCAGACTGAAGGAGAGATTGGGAGTCTGCTCATCTTGTTTCCAGTTTCACCTCTGACTCGAACTAGCCATGGCCCCAGGCAGGCGGTTGAAACTTCGTGGCCCTTTCTCTTCATGCAGTGGGCAATGAGGCTGGATCTCTGCTCCATTCTCGTCTCTCCCCTTACCTGCTAGTCGGCCTGATTTCCTTGCCTCTATTATACCTCGGTAGGTAAGAACAGATGCCGCCCATTTCTACAGTAGAGGGACCTCTTGCAAATTGCAAATGTCGGACTCATCGTTAAAAAATTATTAAGATCTTCAAGAGAGTGACCCCAGAGCATTAAGTTGGCCAGGGCCCGGACTGACTGGCATCGCTGCACGGGGCCAGTGGGTACCAGCTGTCCCGTAGGTGAGCCTATGTTTGAAACAGTGCCACGTAATGTCAGCTGGAATGAAGCCAAAGTTCCGAGTTCTATGTTTAATGACCCCTATTGCTGAACATCCGCATTGTGCCATCAGCTCAAGGGAGAGCAGGTCAGATTCATAGGCCAACGGGGCTGCTGAGAAGATGCTTACTTGAGTTTTCCTTGTGGGGGGTCAGAACCACCACTGTCCTGTGGGTAGGACAGGGCATTTGAAGCTTTCTTCGTTCACACGATAAAATTGCTTTTCTCTCCACTGTCAAAAAGTCAACATTAAAAATTCTCATTTGTTTCCTTTACTCTTAAATCAGTGTGTGTGTTTTAAAATATATTTTTATTGATTTCAGAGAAGAATGGAGAGGGAGGGAGAGAGAGAAACATCAATGACAAGAGAGAATCATTGATTGGCTGCCTCCTGCACGCCCACACTGGGGATCAAGCCCACAACCCAGGCATGTGCCCTTGATGGGGAATCGAGCCATGACTTCCTGGTTCATAGGTCCATGTTCAACAATTGAGCCACGCCAGGTGGGCCATAGTGTATGTTTTTTAAAGAAAAATGTAGGAGTGACAGCTACCGAGGTATGGTTTTAAACATTAATATCTCTTTTATTAATATGTTCAGGGTTTAAAAGAACTATGGTGAAGCATGTTAACTACTTGAATAGAATATTACTTTATAGAGCATATTTAATCATTGTGAAAGATAAGCCATTTTCTTGTTGGTTCTTGTTATTTTCCCATTTACATTCAAATTAATGCAAAAATAACAGCTATCATCTCAATTAATGGTAGCCAGGAGTTACATTATAAAAATTTCACATATAAAATTTTATTCTCTAATAGAGAATTTAACATAGCTATAAAATACATTGCCCACTCTAAGTGGCTTGATATGTTTAAGAGTCCTTCCTGTCTCTCTGAATATTCAATTCTAGTAAATATCACAGCCGAAGAGCTCCAGGCGAAGGGCAATACTTTGATTCCACGTTTTCGGGATGATACGGATAAACCTGGAAATGATTGGAGGGTTGAAAAAGTTCTTCACATGCCCTTTGATATTACTATTTCCTTCAAAAATCTGAAAGCAAAAGATGAGAAAATCCTTAATGGTAGTATAATGAGTACACAAATCTTACAGTTAATTTTAAAATTATTTTTGTTCAAACCGAAGGCATCCAAGAACACAAACATTAACACAGAGATGACCCTCAATGAAATCCTGCTCCAGACAGGCCTCATTAGGAATTCTACCTCCCTGGTGATCTGAGTTAAAGTAGGGGAGGGGAAAACATTTGATTGGTGTATGGGCAGCTACAAGCCCAGCTCTGCCCTCAGGCCTTTTGCTGCTGAGTGACTTGGAGCCAGTTACTTAAGTTTTCTGATTCTCGATTCCTCGTTGGCAAAATGGGGATAATAAAATTTTACCTTATGGAAGTTGTAAGAATTAACAAAAGTCTGTAAACATATAACAAGTACCTAGTAAGTGACAGATAGTGGCACCAATACATGGTTAGCTCTTACCAATATTTAAAATAAAATGCAACCATGCGTCTATAGTCCTCCTTTTTGGATATACCCTATAGTTTCAGCTAAAACTGTGTCCCTGCTCCGTTTTGTTTTTGTTTTGTTTTGTTTTGTTTTTTGGTGTGTTTTTTTGCTTGTTTTTTGCATCCCCAGAAAGTTCCCCATGATTCACACACAGCAGAAGCTAACCCACGGTTTGTTTCTGACAATGATGCTTATCCTGCCAGGAGGATATCCTGGTACAGTGAGAAATAAACCAAACCAAGTCAGAGAAACAGCCAACCCAGGGGCTGGTTACTTATGGCCATGGGTGTGTGATCAGACATGAACAACAAGCATATCCAAGGCAATGCTAATGCAGTGGTAGAGTTTCTGGACCCCTCTATGGACTGCATGTTTGTGTCCTCCCAAAATTCATATATAAACTTTGATACTTTATATAAAACTAGAGGCCCGATGCACGAAATTTGTGCAAGAGTAGGCCTTGGCAGCCTTGGCAGCTGCAGCCCTGGCTTGGTCCGGAAGGACATCTGGTCTAATTAGCATATTATGCTTTTATTATTATAGATAAGTGAGGTAGTATTAGGAGTTGGGGCCTTTGGGAGGTAACTAGGATAAATTAAATGGAATTAATACACATAATGAAGGGGGGAGGAGACCTGGGAGCTCTGCGTGGACTCAACAGGGCAGGCCACATGAGGACATAACAGGAAGAGGCTCTTACCAGAACCCGACAGGGCCCGCACCCTGATTGGGACCCAGCCTCCAGGAGTGTGGGAAATAAGTGTTTAAGTCAACAGCAGCCCAAGCTCCATCTCTCTCGATCAGAGGTAAGGATGTTTCACATCAGACCCTGGAGCTTTGTTCTCACTGCTTCACAGGTGGCTCAGTCAAAGCAGGAGGCAATGTGCATGGTCCCTGTCCCAAGACCAGTTGCCTGCAGAGCTAGGGTTTACAGGGAGGACCTGCCAGCATGTATTTGTCCAATGCAAAGAGCTATCTGCAAATGCAAGGTACCATTCTCATCACAGCACCGTTTTCTAACGGCTTCCTTTTTGCCCGGATACCACCCTGTACCTTGTCCACCATGGAGGATTTCTGCCTGTAAGGCTTCCATTCCACTCCCTGGTCACTGTAGTGGACGGCGTAGCTCCTCACGTACATTTCAGAGGAGAGGGACTTGCAACCCTGCGTAACAATCGCAGTTATCTTCTTGATTTTGAGCAGATCGATTTGTAACCACTGCTTGTTGTTGTTTGCCTGCGAAGATGAGGAGAACACAAGGGTAAGACAGATGCCAGAACCTTTGCTTTTTTTTAGACCAAGTTACTCAGAAATGCCAGAGCTCCAAGCGTTTCTTTCCTGTCTCATCCCTTACGACTCCTCGAAGCCTTCCCTGTTCTGTTTGTTGCTACAACACGTATGCTAACTTCTTCCGGAGTCATTCACACATATGCAGTCATGATCTGGGTCCATCTTTGTATCCCTTCGTCCCTGAGGACAGGGGCTGATGAGTTTCGTTTCTATGCACTTATCACAGAGCATGGCACGCAGTTGGTGTTCATCAAATATTTGTTAAATAAACAAGTAAATTAAATTGACTTGGGAAAAATATTCACCCGATAAATTAAGTGTTATTCTGGTAAGCAAGTTGGTTTAAATGCTATGATGATGTTATTGATTACTGAAGGGTTACCTGGGAAAGAATGGGATAGTATCCTGTCTTTATTTTAGAAAAGCCCACTTTCCTTTCCGTTGTTAATGTCCAATAAGAGACATAGTCCAATTTCTTCTTTTCGGGTATTTCAAATACACTGAGAGACCTGATAAAGCTACACCTAGGGCTTGATACGCACAGTAATTGTCCCACCTCTGGCCAAATAAAATGCCTAGATACATGCTTGGTGCAATGCATGTGGAGGAGGAGGATCAGAGGACAGATTGAGTTTTAGAGTAATCTGAGATGAATTTTCAATTCTGGGAGATTTATCAAGCCCCATAGTCTCATTCAGTTCTATATAAAATAATGAAATAATGAACATTGATATATTTGTCTCAACATCACTCATATGTGCATGCCCGTATACACATATGGATACACATGCATATGTTTATAGTCATATACCTTATATATCTTTAGAGAAAATTAATTGGATTAAAAGTATTGTATTGGATGATTTTTATTAATTCTGTTATACCCTTTAGTGGCATTTGGTGGTATTGCAGTGTCTTCAAACCAAGGTGGTACTAGTGAAGCAGAATATAGGTAGCTAGAGGGGTTTTCTAGGCATAACTATTTTTTAGGCATAGAGGGGTAGAGACCCTTCCAGCTGCATGCAGGCCTATATATGTCTCGCTTAGATTTTCATCCTCTCTAAAGAGACCCTATAAACCCATTTCATGCTAATAGTTTAAGCGAAACAAATAATTGTGACCTAGAATTCCAGATTTAAAATGACAGCATTAAAAATTAAAATTAGCATTTCCTCTTTGGAGCCTTTATTATTTCACAAAGACTAAGAGCGTATTGTATTCGGAGAAAGTTTTTTTAAAAGGCTGGACCATGGAGGGTGGGGGACAAGGTTGCACCATGAACAAGTCTAAAGTGTCATCTGGGAAACACCTTTCTTCCTCTCTCTCCTTAACCTTTTACTCTTATTTTTATGATTTTTTAAAATTACATAAATGTAATGTGACATTATTAACTTTATTATTTTATCTTTTTGGGTCTCAGTTCCCCCCTCTGCAGAATTGCAAAATGAGGTGTTTGGGTTGGAGGAAGGAGCACTGAGCTGCCTATGGGGAGAACGGGATTTCTGAGGAGAACAAGAAGTCTAAACAAAAGCATTTGTTTCATCTCCTTTGTGTTGAGATTTGAAAGGAAAAATCCAGATCAGATGCTTGCTGTTCTAACATTCCGGTGACCTCCCGAAGGTCCAGACATGAGTTTCAAGGCATAGATACTGGTTCCCAAAACTATCTGTACAGGGCCCACGGTCTTCTAGTCGCTCCACTAGCCTCTCTGGTGACCTAATTTAAGGACAGGAGGTGGCAATCCCTAGCAAGTCCAGGGAATTGCAGTGGGCACCTTAGGGAGGGTTAGGAGGAGAGAAAACAGGGAACTTGGATTAAATTGGTTGATGGGCTTGTTCTCATTTCTGATGTCATTCTGATGTCTCAGGTCAGTTGAGGAGTGCAATAAAAGTGAGTCAGTTATTAAGTTACCCTAAAACTGTCACCTGAATTACTCTGTGGGTGATATCAGGGGCAATATAAAAGCTGTTTCTCCAACTTAGATCACTGTTTTACTTCCTGGTTTTGCCCCATTTTACTATGCGGCCAATTGTCTAAAGCAAGCTTTTCAAACCGCAGCTGGTGGGCCGCATACCTCGAGGCATGTGGCCTTGAGTTTGACATGCTTGGTCTAAAGGAATGTCACAAAGTTCTCAGAAAAATTGGAACAAAAGAATTTTAATGGCACTCCTAAGAAAATGAAAAATATTGCTAAATGGGGCATGGTGGGGGAAAGAAGAGAAGATGTTGGAAATCTAAATCACTTAGTGCTAATGTAAGTTGTCTCAAAGAGGATTTGCAAACTACAGCCCAAGGCCAAATCTGACCTACCACCTGTTTTTGTAAATAAAGTTTTATTGGAACTCAGCCATGATAATGTTTATGGTTGCTTTCCCGCTACAACGAGAGATGAGTCGTTTTGACAGGAAACGTATGGCTCACAAAGCCCAGAATATTTATTACCTGGCCTTTGACCACCCCTGGCTAAATTAAGATTCGACAAAGAACTGCAAAGATGATGATAACTTCTCTGTGAGTCAGCGTTAGAGCGAAAGCTCGCAAGTCGACAGGCATGCTAGTCTTCAGGCCCAGGATCACAACCTGCAGAAACAGGGGGTGCTGTCTGGCTTCCCAGGCCCCCCATGTTCCTTTGTTTGCTCCTGGAAGCTGAGAGAACTGTGTTAACAGGGATAGTCACCTTGGCTTGCCAGGCATTCACACGGCCCTGGGCATTCAGGCGGGCACGGGAGGGCTCCCAGTAATCTCGCCACCAGGACTTTTTAAACGAGGAAGCTGTGATTTGCGCGTCTTCTATCTTCCCACTTTCCATACCCAGTGGGGTGGAGCATCCTGTTGAGAGAAAAGTAATGGGATTAGTACGCACCACCAGCACTCCCTGTACCCCATTTTGTGCGCAGAGGAGGGAAGGAATACTGTTCCTCAGAGTGCCAGCAACAACAACCATCACAACAATCAACCGTGTGGGTGAACAGAGCTGACTGTCCCATTTCAGGGAGTCAGCTTGACTCTACGAGCTGATCAAACTACCGCTTACATCAGACACCACGTGGGAGGAAAATAATGATTTATGGAGCTGTTCCAAGGAGTGTGGCTGCCTGTACGAAAGCTGTATTTCATTGGAGATGGTACAAGCCCCTGCTACCTGGGCACTGGCACAATGCCCATCCCTCATCCCTCATGAATATCAAGAGTGTATGTAACATTGCCTGCTCGGATAAGAAACTGGTTCCAAGGTTCGGCTACCTTCTCTACCATGAGCATGGCTCTTCCCTCCACCCTGAGAGAAGGTGCTGTGGCTTCCCAGCAGGCTGCCACAGCAAATTCCAGGTGCTTATATAGTGGGCTCTCCCTCCCCTTAGTCGTGAGTAGCCAGGCCGGGTCTGGATCAGCCAAGCCCTGGGCCAGCTACTTTATTCTATTACCCCAGGCCCAAGGCAGGTATTACTTTCTGTATGTGTTTTACAGTGAAAGATTTTTGGAAAGCACCACTGGAAGAGTCAGAGAGGGAGAATAGTTATTATGACTCTCAAACATCTTTGTCCTACATCGTAGAATTTTATTATGGCCACATGTGGTCCCCTACATCTATTTATACCACAGGTCACATTACATTCCCTGAAAAATAGCAGCTTAACACAGAAGAGGCTTGGGTACCTACACAGGATGTGAAACAACACAGAGCCTGGTCAAGGTTTCAGGAAGTTGGGAAGCAGAGGTAGATTTCAAAACCACTCACTGGATACTGACGCATGCCGGGAATGTGGCCAGATGCCGTTATTACATGAGTGTCCTCGAGGACTTGGGAAGAGCCAGGCCTAGTTTGAATCTCAGTTCTCTGGGAAATGGGCTGAGGGAGGTCATTCTCAGCTGGGACCCTCCCTGGGGGTCAGGGCGGAGACCATGCCATCCAGGTGCTGCTCACAGAGATGGCACCCGCCCCTGCCCGGGAGAACCTGTGTCCTGCTGAGTCACCATGAGCGTTTGCCTGAGTGGAACCTCTGCTTCCCAGAACATTGCTTCAGGAGCCTACGTGATTGAAGAGAACTGAAAGTCCTTCCCCTTCTCCCGCACCTCCCGACCTGGACTCTCCGAGCGGTGGTAAGATAGTCACGCATCTCGGTTCCTCACCATTAATCTCGCAGCCTTGCAGCTCCAGGCGCAGGGCAGGTCTGTGGTAGAATCTGGTTGGATAGACCCTAATGTATCTTGCCACAATCGGTGGGTCAAACAGGTTTTCTTTTACTGTAGAGGCATCGGAGTTGCCATCAAAATACTAGAGGAAAAGAGATAAGTTTAGTTATGCAAAAATTCTCTGTAAAGTGATTTTATAGTAAAATGCTGGTGTCATTTAATATGATGATGTTAAATTTTCATGTGGCCAGAACTAAATCAATATGGTCTTAAAACATATTGAAGGATGCTTCCACTTTAGGAATATGGAACAAATGTACTTTTCCCGATTCCTCCTGTTAAGCACAACTAAAACCATGAGAATGCTCTGGAAGGGGGAGAGAAGGCAGACTGGCTAGAGTTCTAGGACCCTAGGAACAACATGGTCATGGGCTCCCTGGGTTCCTTTTGGCCCCACAGACCCCAGACTTGGAAGAGAAGAAGCCAGCAACCAGGAAACACCAATGAGCACAGACAGAAACAGCCCCAGCACGACCCTGCTTTCTCTAGCCTCAGAACCAAGAGAGGGCAGCCCAGCATGACAGAGCTCTTTTAGACAATCATTGCTCTCCGGCAAGCTCAGCTCCACAGAAACAACTATGGCCTCTCCTCATCGAACAGCAGCGAAGGCCAAGGGCGGAGCCTTGACCTCCATGGGCGTGAAACTGTGATGAGGCACCTCTGTGCCCTCACTGGGCTGTGTCGGAAGGCCAGGTGGGGGCCAGCTCCTACCAAGGCTCCCACCGCTGCAGTGTCCGTGGAGAGCATCTCATCCCACCAGCAGCAAAGAGGAGGAGTCCCTGGCAGGTGGGCAACCTGGGCTGGACCCCCAGGCAGTAGGAGGCCGTGCCCCATGTGCTTCCCCTGCCAGAGCATCATGAGATATCCAGCTGAAACAGAGGTAGACTCAGACTAAGCAACCAAGTAAGCAAGACAGAAAAGAGAAATATGGTAGAAAGAGTAATGAGGCAAAGAGCCAGTTCTTTGAAAAGATGTTAAAAAAGGCAAATCTCTAACAAGACCAACAAAGCAGAAGGAGAAGAGACGCAAATGACCAGCACCAGACGTGAGCAGGCAGTCTCACCGCTGACCTTGCAGACGTCAGAAGGATGATAAGGGACGGACAAGCAACTCCAGACATGAATCTAGCAACTTAGAAGAAATGGATCCACTCATTGAAAAAACACTATTCCTACTCACCCAATAAAAAACAGATAATTTGAAAAGCCCGTAACTGCTGAAGAAATTTAATTTATAATCTTAAAACTTCTGGAAGAGAAATCTCCAGGCCCACATGGTTTCACTGGTGAATTCTGCCAAATGGTTAAGGAACTAACACGAATTCTAGACAATCTTCTCCACAAAATAGGAAAAAAGAGCACGCTTCCCAATTTAGCTTGTGAAGCTAGAATTACTCTGATATCAAAACCAGAAAAGACAGTACGAAAAAATAAAACTACTACATACCAATATCTCTCATGAATCTAGATGTAAAATTCTTTAAGCTAGAGACTCTCACTGAAATCTATGTTCTCTCTCTGATACTGATTAGTAAGAGCCATCATTTAGGATTTTGCTTATCTATCCTAGAAATAGCTAAGTGATAATATAGAAAGTTAGTCATGGAGAATATAGAAAATTGGAAAAAAATTAGTAACATCAGAACTCTTGATAGCATATTTTTAACATGAGCCCCTTAAGCACCAGATCAGATAGATGCTCTACGCTGCCGTACACCATCTGCCAATCTGAAAAGTCCGGGTATTTCGTTTGATGATAAAGTGATTTTTTAAAAAAATATTTTATTGATTTTTTACAGAGAGGAAGGGAGAGGGATAGAGAGTTAGAAACATCGATGAGAGAGAAACATCGATCAGCTGCTTCCTACACACCTCCTACTGAGGATGTGCCCACAACCAAGGTACATGCCCTTGGCCAGAATCGAACCCAGGACCCTTCAGTCCGAAGGCCGACACTTTATCCACTGAGCCAAACCGGTTAGGGCGATAAAGTGATTTTTAAAAAGTTTTGTGGAGTTTTGAAATTTCAGAAGTCAGGCGTATCCCTTTAATTTGTAATATACAGACCCATCATTTTACCACTTTCCTTCATTAGGCCCTAGAAAGCCCTCCGTGTTTCCAATGCCTAGAAAAGTATTTTTACAAAAGCAAAGAGTCATGGTCACAGTTATAGTGACCATCAGGTGAGTCTGGAGACTCTGAAAGAGATGTGCACACTGACCATCACGTTCCTTGTGCTGTTCCCTTTGAAAATCTGCCAGTTGGTCTGGTCGGAGCTGTAGGCCACGCAGAACTCGGTGGTGAAGTAGGACGTCAGGTAGTGTTTGGCACCTTGGGACTGGATGCCTGTGAATACGACTTCCCTTTGCATGTCCACCTGCAACATAGCAAAGCCACTGAACAGAACTGTCCTTGTCCACAAGTCACACGCCACCGTGATTCATTGAGCAACCAACCAGCTTTCTTCAGAACTAAAGAGCCAGCACCTCAGGTTTTACTTAGAAAACTAATAAAATGCAGTCTGTATTTGAGCACAGAGGACCTGAATCCCAGCTCAACCACTAACAAGCTGTGCTTGACGCTGAGAAGTTAGTTAACCCCTCTGTGTCTCAGTTTTTTCATCTGGAAGATGGGATATTATTAGAACCAATCTCAGAGGGTTCATTTTAAGGATGTTATCTATTTAGAATATTACCTGGCACCTAGTAATTGCTATTTCCCCTAACAACATTGCAAAGAAGCAACAAGAAGAAGTTATTAAATCAGTGTCACTTTTACTATTACAACTAAAGGCCCAGTGCATGAAATTTGTGCACGGGTAGGGTCCCTAGACCTGGCTGGCGATCAGGGCCAATCAGGGCCGATCGGGGCCTTCTGGCTGTTGGCCAGGGCCTTCCTTCCCTGGCTGCTGGCTGCTGGCCTGGGCCTTCCTTCATTCTGCACCTCCCTGTTGTGGTCAGAACATGTCATAACGAGCAATCGAACTGTCGGTTTCCCAGTTGAACTCCCGAGGGGATAATTTGCATATTAGGCTTTTATGTATATAGATAGCAGTAAATATTATCAGATTAATGTAATACCTGGATCCAAGGTTTAGAGTAAAATTCTGAAGTTTTTTCTGTCATCCATGCATTATATGATCCACCATTGTTTAATCTTGCTAATTTGGGCTCCCAGTAACCTAAATCCAAAGGAAGAAAAAATGTATTCTGAATTAAAAAGCACACACACTTAGCAATTTCTCAAGTGAGTTCAGTCCCAGTGGAAAACCAGATCCCGGAGGACCTTCTGTGTAGTTAGAAGACCAGGCAGGTGGAACACGCTCAGGATGACTTAACCCAGGATGACAAAAGCTTGGTTTCAGGTCTGTGCTTGGTCAGCTGCCACCTGCCACCCACCCCCTTTCCTGGATACAGGTCGTGTTTATCTCCTCTCAGTTATGCAAATTACTGTGGCCGCTGCTGAGTATGCCTGCCTACCAGGAAGACAAGGGAGGGATTTATGGGAGCCTCACGGTCCTTGCAATTGACCCCTTGATCTTGGGAAGGGCTCTGAGCAGTGAGGACAGTTAGGAGGAGTTCCTGACACACAGTGGGGCATCAACACAGTTTCTCGAATAGATGAGTGGTGGGCACAGCAAAGGGTCCTATTAATGGGGCCTCTAACACGTGCCCGATGAGGCGCCGTGAATCTGGCTGGAATATCATGTGTGACCCAAGTCAGAATGGGGGTGAATGGGGAGAGTCTTGGAAAAGGGCACATGGTCATGAGAGCAAGCTGCGTCCTCTTGCCCACTCTGCGGAGAGGTCAGACTGCCTATGGAGAGGGACCACGCTCTTGGTCTTTCCTGGGAGAGACTCTTTAGGAACATCCTGCACCAGAGGGGGTGTCGGCAATAAGGGTGCCAAGCAGCTTTAGCTCTTGCCACAGCGCTCCTTCCTGTACCAAGAAGCACCCCAAATGGAGCTGCTGTGCTATGTTGTGGTGGAGGGAAGCCTGGAGAGGAGCAATGCCCAGATTCTCCAGGCCCGGCTGGCATGCCTGGTTGTGCAGGCTGTATCCTGCACAGCTGGCGGAGGTGCCTCTCACAGGCTACACTGCTGCTGCTTACCCACAAACTCCGACGCCTTGATCTGGGTATCAGCTATGAGGCCTGTGCTTAGTCCCAGTGGCATCTTACATTCTGCAAAAAAAGCAGGACAAGAAATAATGTTTGGTTAGAAAGTACATTTAACAACGCATAACTCCATGGCTAGAGATTATACTTGTGGTGGGTCAGTAATTAGATATTGTTACCTGCCTTGCATAGCCCTGACTTAAATGCATCCGACCCTAAAATGGTAAGTGCACTAACAAGACTGGTACTTTAATAGACATAGTGACACCCTATCGGAAAATAACTGAAATCCTGAAATGCAATTTGTTTTTAAACCAATTTCCATCTGCTTATATCTTAAAATAAACCACTTTATAGCATTAAGTACTATCCCTCAGGGTTATTTACATCCTGATTGCATCCCTGGACAGGAATACCAGCGAAGGGGATGCAACCACTGAACTATCTGGATGTTGACACCATGCTTGGTACTCAACGGGTGCTTGATCAATGTTGGCTGGCCGGCCGGACAGACAGATGGAAATTTGTCCTGAGTCCTGGGATGCCGAGTCCAGGGACTCTTGGGGATTGCTGAGCTCCTCGTATCTTTTCCTCCTCTGTGCTAGGAGCCTGGAGGATTTCTTACATGCACTTTCCAGGGGGTCACACATCATGAAGGAGGATGCTGTACGCTGGTTCCCCAACAGGGAGGAATGCCTTTGGGCCGAACCATTTGGTTTAAGTTTCCTGGATGACTGATGTTTGCAGTATAATCAGACCACGGCCAGAACAAAAGCATTAGTGCCACAGAATGTGCCTTTGTCATATCAGAGTTCCGAGTTGAATGTTTCCTGTCTAAAGGTCAGCAATATTCTAGCAACAGGACTCTCCTGCTTAAAGGGTCCCGCGGCTCTTGGCTGATACCTCTGTCTATGATGAGAAATGGCGTTTGCATCCCTGCTACCTGGTTTTCTCCGACCTCCGTGTTTAGGAGCCACCAGCCAGGTTTTGATGCCTTCATTTCAAGAGTTTTAAATGAACCTAAAATAGAGAGTGAAGGACAGCATTGCACACTCAAAGATTAACAGGTTACTATTTGGCAGCGATCAAAGGATCTTAATATCACTGCATCCCAGGAAGCTTTAGGATAGAACTTAAGTGTATCCATTCATTTCTATGCAGGACTAGAAGTGTAACAA